TACATTCCAGCATGGAGGAGGCCTGTGGGATGACCTAGGATCTCATAGCTTGGGCAGCTAAATCAGGCTGTCATGAGGAGCTAGAGATGGGCCATGGCAGCTTGCCATGAGGGACTCCCATGGCTGGAAGCTAAAGGTAGATGCAGCTATGCTCCTCCATTGGTATCAAGAATATTAACATTACTATCAGTAGTAGTACTATAATTTTCATTATTATCAATACTGATATTATGATTGCTATACTTTCATTAACAATACTAATGACAGTGAAAAAATAAAACATATTTCCAGATAAGGAGGGAGATAGGTAAGAATAGTTATTGACCCCTTGATGACTAAGCACTTGTGGAGTCATCTATGTGTAAACATGGATAATAAAGTAAAATCAGAAAGTGTACATACCTACCCCAAAATCAGTGGGCTAATGGAACCTTCATAATTTAGGCTAAAATTAGATTTTGGAATATGCATATAGTACAAAGTAAAAAGCATAAGAAATCAATAGCTTAATGGATTCCAAGATTTTTCTTTTGCAACATGATTGTTGCAATTATTATATCTAGCATATCCTTCATGTCCCTACAAATAGCAACTAATCCACACCATAAATATACTACCATATTAAAGCTTGTTTGGTTACTTTTTTGCATTAACTCCCAAAGAAAGTCTACAAACCATACAAGCTATAATCATGATCAGTGTTTAAATGTTGGTTCTGGTTTTAATAGTTTCTATCAATTTTGAGAATAAAGCAATACTAATAAGTTTAACCTGTAACAATTCAGACACAATACAACACAATACAATGTACAGTACAGACACAATTGTCAAAGACTAAGTCCCCAACACCACATCAAAAACTTTATTCAACAATCGAAATTGCCGTGACTGGGCAGCCCATGGGGAAGGCTTGCTCTGCCCCCAAATACCTCCCAGAAAAAATTGTCTTCACCTCAATATACTCAGCAAGACAGAGCTGAAACTCAGGAGCACTGAGTGGACTTGGGCTAAGAGAGCACTTTCCACTATCTTTTTCTGTTATTTGTGGCACTACCATTTGTGTATGCAGATTATTTCTTGTACCAACAATTACAACTTTGTGTCCTCTACAAGAATACCATCTTCAATTTGTCCTACCTTAGTGCATCCATACTGTAAAGATTAACCAGTTACATATATGGGCAAGCCTTGTACTAAAGCTGATACTGTTCCTAATTGGCTTGATATCTGTAGATGTCTAGCTTTAATTGTTAAATACCTGCCAATTTTGGCAGGTATTAGCCAACATATGAATATATACTGTGCTTTTATGTATTGTCTCATTTACTTTTTTGTGACATTTTGGGGACAGATATGTGTCCTAGAATGCTTGGAGCAATTAGTTCCTTTTGTACTTTTGTTATAGAACATATCTATCCAGCACTGAAGAAACCCCTACTATCTATGTCATATTCTAGAAAAAATATATTGGCATTAGACTTTCATAAACTTAGCAAAACAGAAAATAACAGCCAGAAAATCAACCAGAATACCATTTTCTCATCACATGCATTTTTTCTACATGTCAGTCTTTGGGGTCTAAGTTGAAAAATATTTGAAATGCAGGTGTTCGTTAGTCGTGGCATCTGCGACTTCGATAATTAAGTAGTGATAATGATTAAATACTTACCCTTCAGTTCTTTGATCAGAGGATCCGATATGGACATTTTCTAGTAATATTGTGTTGCTCCCTGAGTAGAGTGAGTCATGAATCGTGAATGTTGACTCCTCGCCTGTGAACGCAACAAAACTGACAGATCTATCAACTTTTATTTACATGGAATACGAGCGCTAAATATTTTAGCTGTTAGCATAATTTCAGCGGTGTGTCTCGTAAGTTATATGGAATTCATTCATATCCATTTTAGATATATTGTTGGATATCTGCTATGGTAAAATCGAATTCTATAAACCCAAGTATACACTCAAGAGCATGAGCTGTTTACATATATAAACATGTAAATCTACAGCATACGGCAAAGATGCAGCATTATTATTACTATACAGAAAATAAAACGATTTATAAAGTTCTATCTTATTTCATATATTTGGCGAACCAAACTATCATCTCACATTTCATTGTTTTAAGCCCGTAGTCATCAAATATTTCTGTTCCTTGCAGCCGATTTCAAATCTCAAACTTTGTCACACATCTGCCACTGTTACATTAATTAATGTGAAAGTAAGTTAGACAAAGAAGATGATATCAATATAAAGGTAACGTGTGAGAAGACTGTATGAATCCAAAAATTAAGGTTTTGGCCATTACTGGAGTTGAGAATCTTGCCCTTCAATCTTTTCCAATAAAACACCATCCCGTGTGTGATTTATAACAGAATGAGTTCAAGACGACCTTTGAGCAGCCTTGGCCTTGCTGTCCCTGTGGTGACGAAGCTTTTAGACGCAGATTTCGTGTATGATGATGATGTGCAAAGCCTGAAGCCAACAGAGTTGAGTGCAG